GGAGCCTCCTGGGGGCCTCCTGGAACCTCCTGGGGCCCCCTGGGGCTTTCTGAACCTTCTGGCACCCCAGACCCCGCCTCGGAGCCTCCTGGGGGTCTCCTGAAACCTCCTGGGGCCTCCTGGGGCCTCCTGCGGCCTCCTGGAGCCTCTTGGGGCCTCCTGAAGCCTCCTGGGGTCTCCTGGGGCCTCCTGAGGCCGCCTGGGGCTTCCTGGGGCCTCCTGGGGCTTCAGAACTACATGCACACAGAGACACAAATCACGCCCAACACATCACACGCTAGACAAACATAACACACACACACACACACACACACACACACACAACACCTACAACACACACACAACACACAAAAAGCACGCACCACACAAAGCATACATCACACACACACACACGCACAACACTCACAATCCTGGGGCCTCCTGGAGCCTCTTCTGGTATCCAAGTCGGGCCTCCTGAGGCTTCCTGGGGGGTCCTGGTACACACATCGCAAGGTGTGGCAACCCCACTTGCGCTCGAGTGCGACTTCGATGTTGCATTTCACTCCTGCTTCAAACGCCCCTTCAGTTTTTTGTATGAGCCTGGGCACACACGTGCCACTTGTATATATATATATGAGAGAGAGAGATAAGAAACAAAAAAAAAAAAAAAAGAGACAGAGAGAGAGATCGCGATCCACCGCCGCTTCACTGTGGAAAATGCCCCCCTTCCTCGGGAACCCCGGAATCCCCCCACCCCAACCTTCGAAAATCCTTCCCCTGCTGGACCACCACCACCCCTCCCCCCCCACCCCCCCACCCCCTCCGGAAAATCGGGGGGGTCACTACCGGTTCGAATCCACCACCACCCAATCCGGAAAACTGGCGATGGTCACTACCGGCTCGAGCCCCCCCCCGCTGCCCCCTCCAGAATACCAGGAGGGGGGCACTACCGGTTCGACCCCCCCCCCTCCAGAAAACCCGGGGGGAGTCACAACCGGATCGACCCCCCCCACTCACCGCCAGCAAACGACTCCCGGGTCCCCACCACCGTCCGCACCACATCCCCCACTGCTGTCCCCACCACCACTGTCCACACCACCACTGTCCCCACAGTTCCCACCACCGTCCGTCCCCACTATCCCCATCAGTGCCCCCACCACCGTCGCACTGTCCCCACTGTTCCCACCACGGTCCCACTCTCCCCACTTTCCGCACGGTCCCCACCACCTCATTGTCCCCATTGTCCCCACTGTCCCACTGTCCCACTGTCCCCGCCGCTGTCCCACTGAGCTGTCCCACTGCTCCCACCACTGTCCCCACTGTCCCCACCACTGTCCCCACTGTAGCTCTGTCCCACCACCGTCCTCGCCACCGCCCTCACCACTGTCCCCACCACCACTGTCCCCACCACTGTCCCACTTCCCACCGTCCCCACCACATTCCCACTGTCCCCACACCACTGTCCCCACCAGCACCGTCCCCACCGCTGTCCCACTGTCCCCACTGTCCCCACCATTGTCCCCGCTGTCCCCACCAGTTCCCCCACCAGTGTCTCACTGTCCCCACTCTCCCCGCCATTGTCTCACCACGGTCCCCACCACTGTCCCACTGTCCCCACTGTTTCCACCACTGTCCCACTGTCCCCACTGTCCCCGCCGCTGTCCCACTGTGCTGTCCCACCACCACTGTCCCGCTGTCCCCCCACCACTGTCCCCACCACCACCGTCCACACATCTGTCCGCACCACTGTCTCACTGTCCCCACACCACTGTCCCCACCACCGCCGTCCCCACCACTGTCTCAATATCCCCACCACTGTCCATCAGTCCCGAAGAGCGAGAATCGTTTGCCAGCGGCGAAGGGGGGGCTCGAGCCGGTAGTGACCCCCCCCCGGTTTTCGAAGGGGGGGTTCGAACCGGTAGTGCCCCCCCCCCTTTTCATGATGGACTAGGGGTGTCTCGAATCGGTAGTGACCCCCCCTCGGTTTTCGAGGGGAGGGGGGGGGACGGGCTGGGAACCCCCAGTGACCCCCACGGCGTTCCGCCAGCAGCGGTAGAGCACGCTCTTTTATATAAGTGTATGCATATCATATGTGTATATATATATATAGAAAGAGATATACGAGATATTGTTGGCTCGCTTCGCTTCGCCACAACATTTTGTCCCTCATCCTCATCCGTGGCGCAGGAGCGCGGGTCTGGTACCTCGCCGCGCTATGTGGTCACAGAATGTGGCGAACTCGTGAACTTACATTGCCATATGGGTGTAAACGTGATGTTTGTCGCGAGCTCGACGGTTCAGGGCTGCGTGGGTGTGTGTGCGTGTGTTTTGTAAGGAGTGAACATGTTTCGAAGTGAAGAACCACCCGACGGGCCGAACCAATTGTGGTTCATGTCGACGGCTGTTTTTTTCTTCGGGGCCCCGGATGGGAGCGTCTGGCGCTCTGCGGGCACGCTGGCGCCGAGGGGCCGTCGTGTGCGTGCGTGTGTGTGTGTGTGTGTCTGTTTTCGTCAGGAATGAGCATGCGCGCGGACGCAGAGCCACCCGACGGGCCGAACCAATCTTTGGTCCACGCCGACGGTTGTTTTTTCTTTTTCGTGCTCGGGATGGGGGCGTCTGGCGCCCTCTGGGCACGCTGGCGTCGAGGGGCTGTCGTGGGTGTTGGGCTTCCGTGAGGAAAGAGCATGTCCCGGGGCGCGGAACCATCCGACGGGCCGCACAAATTTTTGGTTCACGTCGACGGTTGTTTTTTCTTTTTCGTGCCCGGGATGGAGGGCGTCTGGCGCCCTCCGGGCACGGCGGCGTCGAGGGGCTGTCGTGGGTGTGGGCTTTCGTAAGGAAAGAGCATGTCCCGGGGCGCGGGGCCACCCGACGGGCCGAACCAATTCTTCACGCTTCGCGTATCCCCACCAGCCCATCTCAAAACAGCAACTCTTGCGAAACATGAGGCCTCGTGGTGCCTCCTGGGGACCTCTTGTGGGCCATCTGGGGAACTCTAGGGGCCATCTGGTGGACCTCTGGGGGCCATCGTGGGGGGCTTGTATGAGCGCTGCCCGTCATCCTGGTGTGACTCGTTCGGGCTCCTCGTGGTGTGAGTCGTTCGAGGCCCGCGTCGTGGAGTGAGTCGCTCGGGCTCCTCATGGTGTGAGTCGTTCGGGCGGCTCGTCCTGGTGTGAGTCGTTCGGGCCCCTCCTTGTGGTGTGAGTCGTTCGGGCTCTTCGTGGTGTGAGTCGTTCGGGCCCCTCGTCCTGGTGTGCGTCGCTCGGGCCCCTCCTTGTGTGTGAGTTGTTCGGGCTCCTCGTGGTGTGAGTCGCTGGGGCCTCTCGTCCTGGGGTGAGTCGTTCGGCCTCCTCGTGGGCGTCTTGGGGGCCTCTTGGAAGCTCTCGGGGCTCCTTGGGGGGCTCTTTGTGGTCTCTTGGGCGCCTCGGGGGGGCCTCGAGAGGCGTCTTGGGGCTTCTTGGAAGCCTCTTGGGGGCCTCTGGGGGGCCTCTGGGGGCCTCTTGGGGGCGTCTTGGGGGCCTCGTCCTTCCTTGTGTGGGTCCCTCGGGCCCCTCAGTGTGTGTGAGTCGCTCGGGTTCCTCGTAGTGTGAGTCGTTCGGAGCCCTGGTCCTGGTGTGCGTCGTTCGGGCCCCTCCTGGTGTGTGAGTCCTTCGGGCTCCTCATGGTGTGAGTCGTTCGGGCCCCTCGTCCTGGTGTGAGTCGTTCGGGCGCCTCCTTGCGTGTGAGTCGTTCGGGCTCCTCGTGGTGTGAGTCGTTCGGACCGCTCGTCCTGGTGTGCGTCGCTCGGGCCCCTCCTTGTGTGTAAGTTGTTCGGGCTCCTCGTGGTGTGAGTCGTTGGGGCCCCTCGTCCTGGGGTGAGTGGTTCGGGCCCCGCATTGTATGTGAGTCGTTCGGGCTCCTCGTGGTGTGCGTCGTTGGGGCCCCTCCTTGTGTGTGAGTCCTTCGGGCTCCTCATGGTGCGAGGCGTTGGGGCCCCTCGTCCTGGTGTGAGTCGTTCGGGCGCCTCCTTGCGTGTGAGTCGTTCGGGCTCCTCGTGGTGTGAGTCGTTCGGACCGCTCGTCCTGGTGTGCGTCGCTCGGGCCCCTCCTTGTGTTACGACGTCGTTTCTTAGGATATGCCCTGGGGGGGTGCGCCATGGGGTTTTGATGGAAACCACGCCGTGGGGTTTTGATGGGTCTTGTTTCGGCCCTCGGGACGCGCCATGGCCAGCGCCAAAGTATCTGGCGCGCGCCATGGGAATAACACGGGCTGACCCCGAACTCTCGCGGCGCGGCGTCGCTCGAGCGCTCGCGCGGCCATGGGGATAACACGGGCTTAGCGCGGCCACCATCGTGGCCGCTAGAGTTGCCAACACCTTCGCATGTTAGGGTGCTTAGTGCGCTTCGACGCTCGAGCTTTTCAAAAATCCTCTTCCTTCTCCTCCTCCCGTTCCTCCTCCGCCCCCTCCCCCTAGCCCCCTCCTCCCTGTCTGTTCCCCGCTCTCCGTCCCCTTCCTCCCCCTCCAGCTTGCACTCGACCCCCCCTTCCCCCCCCCGCTTTCCTGCGCCCCTCTCGCCCGCCTCCCCCCCCCCTCTCCCTTCCACCCTCCCGCGGGCGAAGCGCCTCAGGGCGCAGGCGAGGGCGCTGGGGTCGGCGTCGGCGAGGGCGACGGCGCGGGCGAGGGCGAGGGCGGGCGAGGGGAGAGGAGGAGGAGGAGGTATCCTGCCGTCTGCCTGGTTTCCCTCCTCCTCTGCCTGCCCTTCCTCCCTCCCTCCCCCGCACCGCTTCCCCTCCCCCCTCTTTCTGCGTTTCCTGTCCCGTCCCCGCCCGCCCCTCCCTCCCCTCCCCTCATTTTCCTCCTCCTTCTCCCGTCCTCATCCTGCCCCTCGGAAGTCCTGAACCCCCAGTCCGTTTCCAGCGCTCCTCGAGGAGCACTCCGAAGTCAAGGCTCGGGTCGGAGCAGCGGCGAGCTCGTACAATTCAGCCTGCTGCCCACTGAGGCATCCTGCCTCAACTCAGCCCCGCATGGGCCATCGTTCAACTCAGGCCCGCATGGCCTCGTTCAGCTTCTTCTGCACCGCCAGGTGGAACTCGTTCTGGGCGATGCCGTTCTCTGGGAGGACGTCCAGCACGTTCTGGATGGCCGTGGCCCTCACCTCAGTACTGGAGCTCTCGTTATCGCGAATCTTCTGGATGGCGGCGGCCTCCATCTGCGTGAGCCTTGCCAGGTGGATCGTCTTCTCCATTGCCCTCACGATCTCGTCGCACTTGCCGTCCTGCTCGTAGGATTTGCAGGTGTCGCGGACGTTGGTGATGGCTTTCTCCAGGGCCGCGATGGCGGAGCCCACCTTGGCCGCCAAGCCTTTCGTTGCGAAGACCGTCGAGCGAGCATGCTTGACCACCGCCGTCCACTCTGCACTGTCGTCGAGGCCTGCCCTCCAGCCACGATCAACGTTGCCAAAACTGACGATGGATTTCAACCTGTTCTGATACTCGGTGGCGTCGGCGAGGGTAGAGTCGATGTCGGCATTCTCGAAGGACAGTGTCGTGCCCGCCGCCGTGGCCAAGAGGTACTCGAACTTGTTTTTGATCTGAGCGATGCTGATGAAGTTGCCGTGGGTCCCTCCAGGCTGGTCATCCATCAGGCTGCACATCTTTTTGAGCTCCCCGACGGTGCCCTTCAGGCACTGGTATGCTTTGGTGCCCTCCGTGTTTGAAACCTGCTCAGCTGCATTTCCGAATTGCACCAGCTCCTTGAGGGCGCGAGTCGTGTTCAAGACAATCGTCATGAGCTTCACGCGGCGAGCAGCGCCGTTGATGCGCTGCTCCTCGTCGTCGCACTCCGCTAGGTCGCACACCTTCGTGGTTAGCTCCAACATGTCGGCCACCTCGTCAACGAGAAAGTCGTCGATATCTGTCGCCGTATCCATCTTGATGTTATTGCATGCGGTAGCGGCCATGGCGTCCACAGCATTGAATATGATGCTCAGGTGTGGTGGGTCGGAGAACCTGACGCTTCCCAACTGCCCGAGCTCGGTCTTGACGATCTTTGCCTGAGCGCTCATGTTCTCGACAACCGCCGCTTTCTGCAAGGCCTGCAAAATCGCGCTCGACGAGACAGACTTGGACACCTGAGACTGCAGCTCCCGAACCCTCTCCACTAAGCGGTGCAGCCGAGGCCCGAAAGTCCTGGTGACCCCTTCACGGGCCTCGCCCTTCGAGAAGCAGTTGTTGAGCTCGAGAAGGCCTGTGAGCAAGGAATTGAACTGGTCCATCTTCGGCGCGTTCTCCTCGTCCGTTAGCAAGGCGTGACGGTCCATGAACTGCTCGGCCGCAGAGAAAAAATCATGCATGGCGGGGGTCGGAGTAGAAGACCTGCATATTGTGAACCACTTCATCAGGGACGCTACGGTCTTGGTGAACACCGTGACGTCGGAGACCTCGCCCTCGAGCGACTGCCTGGTCATCGTTATATTCTCCATCTCCTGCAGGTCACCTTGAGAAGCGCGTCGCCACTCTATCTTCTCCTGCCTCCAGTAATCGTCCGAGTCCAAAGCGCGAGCGAACGACGACCACTCCTTGTCATAGTCGCCGTGGAGCATCTTCCGAAAGTCAGCCAAGTCGACCTCGATGGAGGCCACGGCCTCCGCAGAGTGGTCGGAGATCGTGTCCAGGATGGCCGCGCAGACCTGCATGTCCTTGTAGAACTTCTTGATCTCCTGTGGCAGCCCAAGTGAAGCACGAACACACTCCCTCAAGGTGCTTCGGAGCCCCTTGGCAGTATCCAGCTGATCGGTCTTATTCTGGATGATCGGGATGAGCAGGTAGTTCAAGGCGTGGTCCCTTGCGATATTGATGGTCACATCCAGTTCATCGGCAACTCCCGAGAGCTTCGGGCAAGCAGGGTCGAACTTAACAGGGCCATCTTCCGCCTCAGCGAACGGGTTGATGATGTCCCACACTGCATCCAAGTCTAAGTTGGCATGGAGGGTCTCTGAAACCAGAGTGCGGCACCACTTCGGGCAGCTCTGGAAATTCACGTTGTTTTTCTTCAGCTCGTTGATGTACTTCGTCTTCAAATCGTTCTTGCCCCTGAGGTTGTGCATGTTGTGCGTGGAAATCTGCTTCGCCGTCTCGATGACTTCGATCAGCGCGTCCCTCCTATCCTTGGCATTGGGTTGCTTCGGGCTGAAGCGTGTGACGGCGTACTCCCTATCGCCGAGCTTGTAGCCCTCCAAGATCTTCGCGATGTCGCAGTCGGTCTCGAGCTGCCTGATCCTCTCCATCTCGTCGACAGCCGCTGGCGATCTGGGCTTCGATAAGGCCTCCATGCCACCAGCGGAGCTGGCGGCCTTGCCACCTGCGCGGGCCCTGGAGGCCCCTCCCGCTGCACTGATGCGAGTCCGAGTCGACCTCCACGACCGAGAGCGTCCGCGGGCTGGGGGAGGCGAGGCACTCGGAGGCTTCGATGAATCCACCTGCAGCCCCTGGAGGTCCTTCTCGCCCTGGGTCTGGCTCTTGCTGTCGCCAGCGCCCTCGCCGCGGCCCGCGGCGTCTCCGGTAAGATCATGCAGACCCGCGGCCGCGACGCCGCTGCCAGAGTCCTCGGGTACGGATGCTGGGAGACTGTCCGCTGCACTGTCTGCAGCATGCCCACGGCCGCCCTGGTTAACGAAAGGGCCGCCGCCTGGATGCTGCTGAGGCTGGATGCCCCCCTTGCCGTCGCTCTTCACCTTGGCCTCAAACGCGATGGACCCCAGCGTCGGAGGGGTGGTCCTGCCGCGAATGGCGGTGGGCATCTTGGCCTTGAGCGTCGAGATCTCGGCTTTGAAAATCTTTTTCCCCTGATCCCTGAGGACATGGCGCGCCTCGGTGAGCGACTGGGAACGCCTCTCGACGAAGTACTCCTCAATCCTGTCCACGTCGACGAAGGGCTTGTCAGGGTTCACCGTCACATATCCATCCACGCTAGCGCCCGAAGGGAACTTGATCGATGAAGCTTTGAGATCCAGATCTTTGGGCTCGACGTCAGCGGGCATGGAGGTGGCCTCGCGAAAGGGCTGCTCCTTCCAAACCCTGAAGTGGTGCGCCATCCTGAAGCCGCATCGCGAGACGATGTCGACGCTCTCCTCGTCGAAAGCCTTGTTGCGCGCGTCCTCCGCGCACTCCGCGGACACCTCGAACTGGTCGTTCAAGGTCTTCTCCTGGTTGAGCTGCTGGCAAAACTTCGGCCAGCTGGGATGCTTCTCCTTCCAGGCCCACTCCCACGGGTAGTAGCACCTCTCGCACGCAGCGATCGACGCATCTGGGAACCGCATGTCGGCCGTCTCCTTCTTGGAGCAGCCTGATCGGCCGCAGACGCGAAACTTGCCCGACGGCTTCGCCTTCGGCTTCGCATCGACCTTCAGGACCTTGACGGCTGCACGCCCGCGCTGCCGAGCATCCTGGAAAAGCTCGTCGTCGTTCTCCTCAGGGTTGGAGCGCTCCGAGCCATCGGCCTCGTCGGAATCGGCAGCGAGAGCCTCAGCGACACGGGACACGGCGCGCTTGCGCGCGCGCGCAGAACCAGCGGTGGCCATGGCCACGGCCTGCGCCGAACGGCGAGGAGAAATACGAGGGGTCTTGGATAAAGGGCCCGCGGGCAAAATGCTCGAGCCTACACGGTGTCGGACACGGGAGCGACACTCTCAGCGGATAACTCCAGGACGAGTTCGAGTATCTTCGCCACTCGGGTGTGCTCCATGTCGATTATCTTCGCGCCAATCTGCGACATTATCATAGCGATTATCATCGCGATTATCTTCGCCAAGAACCGTGTCCAGCGGGGCTCGTTCCGACCACAAGCGTTTCCACATGGGCGTTTCCGTGTCCTCGTCCAATCCCCTGCCTCCCGCCCCCCTCCCCGCCACCTGCCCGTCCCCTCCCTTGCCGCCGCTTCGTCCCCCCATGCACCTCGCCCCCCCCTCCCCTCTCGGCGGACCAGGCTTTATGATATCTCACTGTCGGGGGCCCGTCGCCAGAAGAAGACTCGGAGCCGTGGCCGATGCAACCCCTAGCTGCTACTCCAACCCGCCAAAGTGACCGACTGGCGAGGCGGGTGCGTGGTCCCCCCACAAACGACGAGGCCCTGCAGAACGCCTCATCTTCCCGTGCCTGCAACGGCCCCGCGAATGATCGGGGCTTCCGGAACCGCAGCATCGGCCCTTCGGTCGTCCAGAACGGAGGCAGGACAACCTTCTGAGCGAATCCACGCATGAAGTGTGATATGCATAGAAGAACGCAGAAACATATGCACATTTATTGCAACTGTAAACACTCGGGCTTGCACGTTGATGTGGCATGCATCATACGTTGAGTTTTATGTTGCTGACATGTTTATTGTTGTCTGCAAGAACCCACGCGCGCGCGGGGGGGGGGCGGGGCAAAACCTAATGTGAGGTAATCGGCATAGAGGGAGTTGTTCGGGCTTGGGGCATAAGGCAAATGGCAGAAATCTGGAGGCTTCGGGCTTGGGCCTTAAGTCCCAGGGGTGCTGGTCCAAGGCTTTTGAAATCGGGGCCGAGGGCTCATGGCTCGGGGCTCAGGGCCTAGGGATTAAGGCATAGGGCTACGGGCTCGGGGTACGGGCTTGGGCCTTACGACATCTGGGCTTCGGGCTCAGGGCTGAGGGCTTTGAGCTCACGGCTTAAGGATAAGTTCGTAGAGCTCAAAATTTAAGGCATGGACCTTCGGGCTTAGAGCCTAGGGCCTGGGGTTTGAGGCATGCGGCTTTGTGCACAAGTCCAAGGGCCGATGGGGCGTGCAGCTGAGGGGCCAAGGACCAGGGCCCAAGGCTCAATACTACATATTGACGGCCGATGACTTCTGGCCGAGGTCTCAGGATGGAGCGCCTCAGGCCGCGGGCTTTGAGCGGGGGCGCTAGGCTCTGTGCTTTGGGCTCAGGCAGGGGAGCCAGGGGCACGGGGCCGTAGGCTCAGAGGGTGCGGAATTGGGCTACGGGTCATGGGCCAGGGGGGGCCTAGGGGTCGGGTCTAAGCCCCAGGGCTTAGGGCATCTGACTGAAGTCTCACTGCTGACGACTCGCAACGTTATTGATCAAGGCCTGGGGCTTACGGCTTGGGCCATTCCGTTTCGGGCACGCGGCTTCGGGCACATGGCTCGAGGCGCATGGCCGAGGGCTCAGGGCGTAGGGATGTAAGCTCGGTGCCCACGACCAGGGGCTCACGGCGTAGGGCTGGGGCATTTGGGGTCAGGGATGAGGACTGGGTACTTGGAGCTTATGGCGTAAACCCTGAATCACAGGACGCTGGCCCTTGCGATGTGGGCTTCGGGCTTGTTGCTCAAGGCGTTATGGTTTGAGGCGTTGGCGCTCTGGCTTCGGGCCCAGGGCTCGAGGCATAGGGCGTGAGGATTGGAGCTTCGGGCTGGGGCCCCCCAGGCTCGGGGCTAAGGAATGAAAGTTCAGAGCCTAAGGCTGGCGGTCGAGGATTGCAGGCCATCGGTTTCACGCGAATGCTCACGCACGTGGGACGGAAGGCCGACAACTTTGGGCGCGCGGCAAGGGGCCTCGCGGGCATGCCATCGGGCGACGGGCCTCGGCCCTGCGGCTTAAGGCATAGGGCATGGGGCTCGGGGCTGCGGGCTGGGGGCTGAGGGTTGATGGCACAGGGCCTGAGGCCTTATGGTGTCGGGCCTCGTGCTGCGGGGGTAGAGCCACGGGGCGTACAACGCGGGGCTTAGGGCCATGGGGCTGGAGGCTGAGGGCCAGCCATTCCGCTCTTGGAACCTTGGGCAGAGGGCCTGGGGCACATGGCGCAACTGCTCCAAGGCTACAGTTTCGGGCTTAAGGCTCAAGGCTCATGGATCAGGCCTCGAAGCTTTGAAGCCTCGACAGTGGGCAACGGGCTGGGCGCTACGGGCATCGGGCTGAATGCTCAGCGACCAGGGCTTAGGGCCCATCTCTCAGGGATTGGGGGGTGAAACCCAAGGCTCAAGGGCCAGGGCTCAAAGCGGAAAGCTCGGGGCCCGCGGATGACGGCATCGGGCGGTGGGCCCAGGGGCGAAGGCATGCGGCTTGGGGGCGGGGGCTCAGGGCCGAACGCATAGGTCGCAGAGTTGAAACCGCGGGGCTTAAGGTTCAGCGCCCAGCGTTCAAGGCACAGGGCGTAGCGCCCAGAGCTGTGGCGCATCGGGATCCGAACCTAGACCGCAAGGCTTCGGGCTCGCGGCTTCAGCCAGAAGGCGATGGCCGTTGGGCCCAGGGGCCATGGCTCGGAGTGTTTCGCGACCTGGTCTGAAGGCACTGCGCGACAGATCTGGGGCAAAGGGATGATGGCATCGGGATCGTGGTTTGGGGCCGCGGCCCTCGGGCTCAGGATTTCTGGCGTGAATGCCGAGGCTCAAGGCTCGGGCGTCATGGCCAACGTCTCATCGCCCAGGGCTTCTGGCTTAGCGCTAGTGGTCGAAGGCTTCGGGCCCAGCGCCGACGACTCCAGTTAAGGGCATGAGGCATCAGGCTGTGGGCCTGTGCCGATTGGCGCAAAGCTGAGCGGCAGGGGCCACGGGCGAGCGGCATTGTCCGCGCAACCATTTTGATATAAAGCGAATGGGGTTCAGGACTCGGTGTTAGGACAGATGAGGTTGCGGCCATAGGCGTTGGGAAGGCGGCTGGAGGGTTGGGGCGCGGGGCGCCTGGCGCGGTGCGCAGGGCTGGGGAGGGGGGGCGAATGCAGTTGGCGCGCGGCTTGGGGCGCAGGCGCCAAGGCTCAGGGCAGAGGGCGCAGGGCGCGCGTCTGGGGGCTGATTGTTTGCAGCAGAGGTCACGAGGCCCCAGGCATGGGAACCGAGGCTTCGGGCATGGGGCGTAGGGTTCTGGTATTCGTGGGTGGTGCTGAGGGCTGAGAGCCTTGGGCTTCGGGTTTGGGACCCAGAGGTTCGGGCTCCAGGCGTAGGGCGCTGGGCGCCAGGCAAGCGGCTCTGGGCTCAGGGCTTGGGGCTACGGGACCAGGGTTTCCTGATTCGAGCTCAGGCCTTCGCGGTTATGGCTTGCTGCTCGGGGTGCATGGCCCAGGGCTCAGGGCATATGGGATTGGGGCTGTGGGCCTCTAAGGCATGAGGCTGAAGTTAATCGCTCACGAATTCTGCTTCAGAGCTCAAAGCTAGGGCTTACGGCGTCAGGCTCAGGGCTGTGGTCGCAGGCTCGGGGCTGAGGCACTCTAGGGCCCACCGCTGAGGACTTATGGCACAGGGCTTAAGGCCCTGGGGCTCGGGGTGCCAGCCGACGGGCTCTGGAACTACTTCTAGAGACAAAGGACATGGAGCGCGGGGCACGCGGTTTAGGGCATTCGGCCCATGGCCCAGGGTGTAGGGTTGAAGGATTCGGGCCGAGGGCGTGTGGCATGGGGCTTAGGCACGGGGGGGTGGGGCGCATGGCCTCGGGCTCGCAGCTTTGGGCGCAGGGTTTCGGTGTTTCGGGGGCGCGGCTTCAAGCGTAAAGCAGAGGGCCCAAGGCTTGGGGCCGAGGGGGCGCGGCTTGGGGCCGCAGGGCCTAGGGCGTAGGGCAACGTGCTTACGCCTGTGGGCGCACGGCCCAGGGCACTGGGCTAAAGGCAGAATGCCGAAGGCTCATGACATGGGGCACATGGGGGGGTGGCTTGGCGCATGACGCCAGAGTCCGAAGCCCGATGCCCCAAGCCGTCGGCCAGAACCTCCAGAGCTCACGCCTTTATGGCCGATCCCAGAATCCCGAGTACGTCTGCGCTGGGCCCCGTGCCCCACGAGCGGGCCAGAATCCAGCCGCCGCGGCCCCCATGCCCGACGCGCCGATTCCCCAGGCCGAGACCCCGAACCCACTGCCCCCCAGAGCCAAGCTCAAACCTCGGAGCCCACAGGCCAACGCCCCCAGCCACACATTGCACTGGCGCCCCCTATGCCCAATGCCACGCGCCCCCACCCAAGACTTCGTGACCCGAGGGCCAGGCAGAAACGTTCGCCCCCCCCCGCGGTCGTCGCGTGGTGTGTGTTGGCAGAGAAACCACGAGCGGCCCGCCACCCCGTGGGGCGCCTGGGCAGAAGGCCATCAAACGATTACAACCTCGAGTGCGCATGGGCGCCCCTTGCCCCTCGCCCCCACTCCGGAATTTTCGCATGCCCCCCCCCTCCTGCCCTTTACAAAAATCACAATTTCTGATGGTTTTTGATGGAATTTGATGGATTTTGATGGATTTTGATGAGTTCTGATGGATTTTGATGGATTCTGATGGTTTCTGATGATTTGTGGTGGCCGGACTTGATGGATTTTGATGGAATTTGATGGTTTCTGATGGATTTTGATGGAAAATGGTGGAAGTCCCGTGCAATAAGCTCATCATAATTTGATGGATGTTGATCGATTCTGGTAGATTTTGATGGTCGGGCCTGATGAAATTTGATAGATTTTGATGGAAAATGATGGACTTTGGTGGAATTTGATGGTTCGCGATGGGTTGTGATGGATTTTGATGGAAAATGGTGGAAGTTGATGGTCGGGGTGGTTTGCGGACTCGGCCCGACCGAATCCTTCGACTGGAGAACCACATTTTGTCATGGCGGCCCAGGCGTCCTGATCGCGCACGCCGATGGCGGCAATGCCGACCTCAGCCATGGCCACAAGCCCGATACCTTAAGCCTTCGGCCGTCAACCTTCAACTCCATGCCCGAAGCCCTTGGCCTTGAGCCCTGAGCCCTAAGCCCTGGGCCCTACGTTCTCAGCCCTGAACCCTACGCCCTATGCCCTTGACCCCAAGCCCTAAGCCATGATCCCCCTGCCCTTAAGCCGTAAACCCCGACCCAATGCCATAAGCCGCGCTCCAGAAAACCCGAGGCCCTGTGCCCGAAGCCCCGAGCCCCATGCCATACGCCGTAAACCCCAAGACGTAAACCCTTATCCCCATGCCCCCAGCCGAAACCCGAAACCCTACGCCCTAATCCCTAATCCCTAAGCCCTAAGCCACAGGCCCGATGCCCCGTGCCAGTAGCGCTAACACGCAAGCCCGAAGCCTTTCGACAAGTGCCCTGGGCCCTAAGCCTTTAGCCACCCCTGCCATAAATCATTAGATCTGGGCCCTAGGGGCGTCGCTCTAAGCCTGAAGCCTCAGCCCTACGCACTACGCCCGAAGCCCTAGACAGCTGATATGTAATGCCTAAATCCCAAGACATCAACCCGCCTCCCTACGCCCGAATACAAACAACTCCCTGAGCACTTGGCCCCCAGACGCACGCCTCATGCCCTGAACCCCCATCACCAACCCCCGCACCCTCCCCCCAAAGCCCCATGCCCCCAGCCCTTAGCCCTAAGCTGTGGGGCTCAAGCCTTATGCCTTACGCCCTAAGCCAAACGCCCCAGGCCCATGGCCCTGCACCATGAAGCCGAGGCCATGGGATCTAAACACTAAGCCATACAAGCTATGAGCTGGGCCATACCCCTGTTGCTATATTCCCTGCACCATGAGCCTGGAGCCCTGAGCCCGAGCCGTCCACCCATCAACCTCCAGACGCACGCCCTACGCAATGCCCCCCCTGAGCCCTGACACCCAAGCTTTACGCCGCAAGGCCTCGAGCCCAAACCTCACTCCCTGAGGACTGGGTCGTTTGCGTCGGCGGCTGCGCGCTGCATCAAGAACTCCGTCAACCAGTTGGCGTCGGCGACGAAGCCGTCGTCGCTGCGTCGCTCCAGCAGCGCGGCACCTGGTTGGGGGCCGAGAGCACCACATCGAGATGCACGACTCAGCCCCTGCCCCCTGCCTTCCGCACTGATGCTGCTTGCACTCGGCGGCCGTGCATTGTGCAAACACTGCCAGGCCCGAGCCCGCCGAAGGAGGCAACAATGACCCCCCCATCCCCCTCCCCCGCCTTGCTGGGCATCCATCAAAAACTCGGTGTGCGAGGCTCACGGCCCAGGGCTTCGAGGGCAAGCAGCGGGGCTTCGAGCCCGTAGATTTGGGCATCATGCATATGGCTGAAGGCCTGAGGCTTTGGGCTCCAGGCGCGGGGCATGGGGCCGAGGGGCTGGCCGCCTAAGGTTTAAGCCGCAGGGTTCGGGGCTCATGGTTTAGCGCCCAAGGCATTTTGGCAAGGTTGCCAGGCTGCGGGCCAAAGCCCTGGGCCCCAGGGCATGGGACCTAAGCCATCTAGCTTAAAGCCTAAGGCCCAAGGCATGGGGCGAAGGCTTCCCGACCTACGGCGCAAGGCAAGGGGCGTCGGGCGAATGGCTTATGGGATAACGCTTAGGGCGCCAGTTCCAGGGCCGAGGGCAGAGGGCAGAGGGATTTGTGGCTCAGTGCGTTGGGCGCAGGGTTTATGGCGAATTGCCTTAAAGGCGATGGATCTGGCCTCTGGGCAGAAGGCCCAGGGCGGGCTGGTTTGGGATTTCGGGGCTGAAGGCTTCAGGCCAGGAGCAAAGGGACACGCGGTCCTCGCACGTATCTCCGCTGCTACGTAAACTGCAACGGCTCTAGGGACCAAGACGGCCCTTGAGGGTTCCAAGACGGCCTTGAACCCCAAGAGCCCAATACACCCCTCAAAACCAAGACGACCTTAAGCCCAAGATCCCAAGATAACACTTGAGCCCAAGACTGCCCCTCAGCCCAAGACGGCCTTTAAACCCAAGGCGGCAATATCTATAATCGCGGCTGCTGCGCCGTGCTTGTGATGCGTGACCACGCGCGTGCATGGACGCATCTACGACGACATGTGCATGCATGGCGTGTTCAAGCACTTCGGCGCACCACTCGCACGGATCGCCACAGGAATCCTAGAAGGGCTCAGGGCCAGAAGACAGGCGCTGAGGAGGGCGACAAGGCGCCTGCGCTCGTCGACGGCACCGAACGCGAGCTCGGTGTCGCCCCGATCGCCTTCCCCAGCGCCTAGCGGCAAAGCTCGGGAGAGGGTGGCACGGCGCCTGCGCTCGAGACGGTGTCCGAGCCGTAAAGGCGGCACCACCGCCCCGACCTTCTCCCCCCGATCCTCGCATAGATCTTGCATGTTATGGTTGGGGTCACGGTGCGAAGGCCCAAGACGGCCCTTGAGGTACCCAAGACGGCCTTGAAGCCCAAGAGCCCAAGACACCCTTAAGCCCAAGATGCCACTAAGCCCAAGATCCCAAGACAACACTTAAGCCCTAGACGGCCCCTCAACCCAAGACGACCCTTAAGTCCAAGACGGCCCTTGAGGGAGGACGGCCCTTAACTTGCATGGCTCAAGTCGCCCTTGAGAGATCCAAGACGGCCCTTGAGGGATTCAAGATGGCCCTTGAGAGATCCAAGACTGCCCTGTCTACTCCTCCTGATCCTACTGAGCCCTCCTCTATGTCAGAGTGTGGGCTGGATGCGCCGTTGCACTTCTGCTGTCTACGGCGCCCTCTGGGGCTCATCAGTATCATCAGGATAACGCGGCGCCTCAACTTCGAAGAGGCAGCGAACCTGTGGGACATGCAGGAAGTGCACAGCGCGCCTGCGACACCTCCACCGCTCACTGGCGGAAGGGTCTCGGCAGTAAACATGATCAAACTGCTTATCGTGATTCAAGGAGTGAAACACCAACCACGCCAAAAGGAAGCCGATGCACCTACCCTGGCCCTTGAAACTGGGCACAATCGATGCTTTCACGGTTTTTGTTTTGAAGCAACCTCTGTGCCTCTTACACTCAGCTACAATCTGCGCCTTCTTGGGGTAATATCTCAAGTAAGCCTCAGAACCATACCCGAAAACTCTGATAACGATATGCGGTGGATTTTTGGCGCCAGCCTTCGGCAGTTCCGCCGCGAGCTCGAAACTGGGCATCTCGTCCTCGCCCGACGCAGCTGGAAGAGGCGCGGGATCGACTGCAGCAGGCTCGACAGGAACGGGATCAGCAGCAGGCGCGCCAGAAGGTGCCTCGCCCTCCATCTCCTGCAACGCCTTCTCGACGTCAACGTCGCGGATGGACCCATGGTCGGAGCCCTCCGACTCGGCGCCGCCCGACTCCTCCGACGTGGCGCCGCCGACGGGCTCGAAAAGGCCGTGCTCCTCGGCGAAGTCCAGCTCGGCAGAACCTTGAAGGAGGGCTCAAGCTCGCCCTGTGGTCGCCGTCGTCGTCGTCGCCGCCGTCGTCGCCACCGTTGTCGCCCCCGTCGCCGTCGCCGTCGCCGCCGCCGACGCCGACGCCGTCGTCGTCGCTGTCGAACTCCGACTCAAAAACAAAAAAAAAACCCAACTCCCCGGTAAACCTACGACATCTTGGCCCTCGGAACCTCCATCGGACACCTCCTCAGGCTCCACCTCGGCGTCGCTGAACCCGCGCCGCAAGCTCAAGCCTGAGTCCGACGAGACACCCGCCTCTGGCTGCGGCTCCTCGGCGCCAGCGGCGCTGCGCCCGCGCGCCGCTCGGCCGCGCCTGGGGCGGCCTCGCCCTAGCGCCTCGGCGCCGCGGGCAGCGCGGCCCCGCCCGCGAGCACCGCGTGCTCCCCCCCGCGCACGGCCCCCAAGGGTAGGCGTCTGATTCCTCTTCGGGACGGCCAGCCTCAGCAGGTCGATCGGCTCGAAGCCCATGTGCCTGACTCGTTGGCGGCGGGGCTCGAATGGTCGCAGCAGGCGCTTGGGGAAGCAGACCAGCTCATACCACGTCAGCGTCCAGGACTTGGTGTTCGGGCGAAGCTCCATGTACCCGAAGGCCTCCCACTGCGTAACCAGGTAGAGATCCTCAGAGTTCGGGCCGCACCACGGAGCCACGCCCAAAGTGCCAGCTTCATCTCGGTCGGGATCCCTTTCCATGTAGATGTACGTCGGCCTGATCGGCTTCTCGTAGAACAATGCCACGTGCAACCAAACATCTGAGACATCATCGGGCACGGGATCTCCAACAGGATGATCAGGGCCAGCTCGTCCAGGATTGACACACCCGAACCGTGCAACCAAATGGCCGCGCTTCAGCAAGGGCCGAAAGTTGCCATTCATTCGAGAACAGATGCGAAGAGATGCCAAGAACTTGTCCATCCACTGGTCCTTGAACCGCCCGCTTCCCTTGCAGATGCACTCCTGGGCTTCCCAGCAGCGCCGACGATTCGTTGGAACTCTTCCAAGCTGAGGGACGTCCTGGACACGGATGTAGCGATGCAAATCTTGCCATCTCTCTCCGTTCGCCTTCAGGGTGGTCTTGGCCAAATGCTCCAGGGCAGCCGTTCGAACCGTCTCCGCAGAACGGTTCCAAGTCATCACGAGCATAGGGGACGGCTCAGCGGTAAGATCGCCACGAGGCAAGGCCACATCCGAGCACGCAGCTGACCCGCCAACGAACGACCAGGACTGCGCCTCTCCATCGACAACTCGGCGCGAGTTATCCCGCAGCTCAGTCACCCTGGCTCGCTCCTCCTTCTCCTGGGCGGCAGCCAGAGCACGCTCGCGGCAGAGGACCAACCGCGACTCCGTCAGGATGCGGCCGCACGGCGGCGGCGTCTCCTCCTCGGCGCCCCCGCCCGCGGGTACGAGCTCGACTGCAGGTGCGCCATCATGTTCGGGGCCGACGCCTCCAGGTCGCCCAGCGCCGCCGTGGAGCGCGCGCGACTGGCGCGCGCGCCGACCAGCCGCGCCTGCCCTGGACGACTGCGGCGGCCTGTACGTAGGAAAACTCTCATGGCCCTCAGCCCTCTGCTTCGCGGCGAGCTCGCCCAACTCCTCATAAAAAGATTTCTCATCCGCTGACAGATTGCGATATGCTTGGCTCATCTCAGCTGCAGTCTCCGCCGTAATGTACCGACCCTTCGCCTGCACGTGAAGGAACGCCCTCCACGTCCAAGAGTATCTCCTCGGGGGTGGCTTCTGGGATTCCCCGACCGCCACCGCGGCGGCGGCGCCGCGCGGGCGCTTGCGCTTTTCAACATTGGTGCCCACGTCTCTCCTGTCCGAACAACACCTGCGACAACAGAACCATGCTGATAACTCCTCCAAGTGTTTCTCGTGGGTCTGGACGCGGAACTTGTTGCGCCTCTCGTTCGTGGAGTGCTCCCTCTCGGTCGACCCCGTGTCTGATTCCATCACGCTCAACAACGCCATGAGCTCGGCCCGCGCGCAAGACCCTCCAACAGCCTCGCCGTAGTACTCGACAAAGCCAGCAGTGAACTCGTCCAAACAACAAGTGCACCCACGTGACTCCTTCAGCTCTTGAAGAACAGAACCATCATGCAAGGATGCGAAAGTCTTGTAGGGCCACCAACGATGGGGGACCTCGACCAGCTCATACGTCGCAGTGGCCATCCTGGCCAAGAGCACGTACAGCTTCATGCCCTGGGCCTCCGTCTGGTTCGAAAGGGTGCGCCAGAGAGCTGGAGTGCACATCAAGTCCGCGACTTCGTCTCTGAGCCGTTTCTCTGGATCGCCACGGTAGGCCTCCCACAGCTGGTACGTGCGGGAGCCGTCACGGAGAAACTTAACCTGCTGCTCCCGTTCCCATCCCACGCCAGACAACGCTAATTGGTTGAGAATCAATGTCTCCGTCGGGCCGTACTGGATTCGAGCAATCAGCAAGTCGTCCTCGAACGTGCCACCGAGAATCCAACTCTGGGTGTCCTTGACCCTGGTCTCGGCATCTTGGCGCCAGACAGAGATGTCGCCGCCCTCTACGTCCTCGTCGCCGCCGTCGTGCGCGTCGTCAGCTCGAGAGATGCTCGGCTGCCCTGGCCCGCCTTCGGCGTCGCCAGTCGCCTTCGCCGCATGGGCCTGGCAGCCCCCTCGAAGCTTGTGATCCCTCCCAGGCACTGCTCGCATCCACGCCTGCTGCGCGAGCCCATGGACGTGCGAGATCAGGCCGATGCTGTTGATGCACTCGCTGGTCCCCGTCCAGTTCGAACGGTTCAGCACGGTGACGCCTGACCCGCACAAGCATTGCATGCCCTCGTCGCACATCAGTCTCAGCGTCTCTCTGAACGATGAACAACACCCATTGCAGTAATGCTCAACTCGACCACGGCGCCGGATATCACCATTGAATAGCCTCCCTAGAAGACTCCGTCGATACTTAGCGCTCGGCGTGGCGCCTGGCACGAACAAGTCGTACACGGCCTCCCTGTGAGATGATGCTTCAGCACTGCAGGCGCCAGACCTGATGACTACGAGCTGCTCCTTGAGTATTCTGCGCATCTCTCGTCGCAAGTCGGCCATGGCACCACCTTGCACTGTGAGGGCAAATCTGATCAGTTGCGTGTCCAATGGCTTCACCGTGGCGAACGACAATGTTGACACGGTTGCCTTCCTGTGAGCATCGCAAAGCAAACCCACGCGTGTTCTGGCAGGACACTCGTTCAAAAAGAACCGCTCAGCCCGTAAATTGCCGCCGAATCCGTCGCACACACATGCATTGATCACTCGGTGGAATGATGAGTCCACGAGGTCGTCACACGGTAACTTGAGGTGGCGCAGTGCTGCGACGATACACTCAGCTTTCGTACTATTGATCGCCTGGAGGAGAGTGGGCTGGGGCAACTTCATTATCATCGTGCGTTCTTGCCCATGCTGAATCCGTCGGAACGCTATCACAAAAGACGCCTCTGTCACAAACAACTCATGGGCACCTTTTTGTGTAAACACGTCGTCCTCGCCGTCATCGTCTCGAACATGTGTCGTCACTCTCAAGTGCTTGCACTTCGTGCCGTCGTACTTGCGGTACCGAATCGCACACAAGGGTTGAAGCAGAACTCCATGGACGCGTTGCCTGCACATGTGGATCGAACGCTGCACATACATGGACATCGCCTCCCTGACTGTGTCGTAGGCCGCGCACGCAAATGCGTGCATCATGGGGTACACGTGGGACCTCGACACATCTATTTCGTCGGCGAGCGTGCTGGTACTGCATAGACGTGCAGCCTCCTGAATCGACGGGACCAACATTCTCGATGCAAGAGCCTGGTGTGAGTCTCGACTCGGCTCGCCACTCGAAGCTGCAGGCGATCTGGCCTTTGCTAAACGTGCTTGTCTTTTAGATGGTGCCACGAGAGTCGTCTGGATAACCTTATGATGGGCAATCGGCTTTGGCATCGACTCGTCCCTGATGAAGACAAAAGGTTCTCGGGCCACATTATCCCGCACCACAACTGCTGACGAGGGGCGGTCGGGAATCCAACTCTCACCATCTGCGGCCCCAGGGCAGCCCTGACGCGGAACATCTGCATCACCACCACTACGTTGAATCAAGCAGCCACTCCAGTCGTCTTCATCGTCACGCGAATGAATTTTGCAATGTCCAAACCAATCATCTTCATCATCTGCCATTGTCACTGAAACACAGCATGAGGTGCAACATGTCCGCTGTGCTCAAGAGAGTGTGGAAAGCTGAGATGGGCCCAAACGGTTGCGGAGCTAGGCTAGGCAGCGGGAGCGACGAATCAAAACTCCATGAACGTCATCTTCGCACCCGCGCGCCGTCGTCCCCACATGAACAAGGGCCTTTTTACGGTCCAGGCCGCGAGGCGCGAAACGCGATTATCTTCGCGCGCGCAGGTGGCCTGTCATGCGCACCCCGAGTGCACAAGAACGCCCAGAACCCAAAGAGGAGGACCGTTACCCAGGATGTGGGAGGGGCACCAGGCCCCGACCTCCTGCAACACCAGGGGGCCGAGGGGACAGGGATAACCTGGCCCTCGGGCCAGAGGCCGACATCAGCAACCCCTGGAAAACCACGGTTGTGCCCCCGAAGAAAAGGGACCCAAGGACACCCGACCAGGAGGACCAATGGGACACGATCAAGGGGGGGGAAGGATACCAGAGGGGGAGGAAACAGATAAGCACAAGGACATTGTAATGTAGGAGTACTGCGGGTAGGCAATTCGCGAGGGGGGGAAGCAGGAGAGTAGGAGAAGGTGGGCAGTATTGGGGCAGTGGTGGGACATGTGAATGGGACGCGCAGGAGTAGCAGAGGCGTATGTGAGCCTGCGGAAGGAGGCAGGTAAGGAGGTTGGGTGAGGAGAAATGGGCCTGGCGAAAGGGAGGAGCAGGAAGTGCTGGAGAGCAAGCAAGAGAGTGGGACGGTAGCGCAGGGTGACGGGGAGGGACCCACCCGAACGACGCGGGGCGGCGAACGGCAACCACGGCAATGCGGCGCGGCGCCGCACTACACAACGGCACGACACGGCACTGCAACACAACGCAGAACCACAGCGGCACGGCGCGGCGGCACAGCACGGCACGGCCCCTCCACGGTACCACACGGCGCCACCGCGGCACGGCGCGGCGCGGCACCACGGCACGGCACGGCACGGGATCACGACGTGGCCCGCGCAACGAGGCGCGGCACCGCGACGCGGCACGGGACCGCGGCACGGGACAGGGCGCACGGCAGACCGAATCGTGAGATGGCCCCGCCTTAGGACTGCGGCACGGCACGGCGCACCTCGCGGGCGCTGGCACCTCCATGGCCCTGAGCTCAACACGGCGACGGGCCCCATGAGAAACTTAACTCAGAAGCTTAAGGAAGGGCGCCCGACCATGACGAACACACGTTTAGGGCGAAGGAGAGTTTCCCATCAAAAACCATATGGGGCCGACCTGGCCCATATCCAAGAAACGACATCGTAATCCTTGTGTGTAAAATGTTCGGGCTCCTCGTGGTGTTCGTCGTTGGGGCCCCTGGTCCTGGGGTGAGTGGTTCGGGCCCCGCATTGTATGTGAGTCGTTGGGGCTCCTTGTGGTGTGAGTCGTTCGGGCCCCTCGTCCTGGTGTGCGTCCTTCGGGCCCCTCCTTGTGTGTGAGTCGTTCGAGTTCCTCGTGGTGGGAGTCGTTCGGGCCCCTCGTCCTGGTGTGAGTCGTTCGGGCTCCTCGTGGTGTGAGTCGTTCGGGCGCCTCGTCTTGGTGTGAGGCGTTCGGGCCCTTCCTTGTCCCGGGGCGCGGGGCCACCCGACGGGCCGAACCAATTTTTGGTTCCTGGGGGTCAAAGGCTACGGAACATCAACCGCAGCCTGGCGCGTCCGAAGTGTATACGTCGTCTCTGTTCGTGGAGGCCTCATGGATGGTTTCTCGCGGACGTCCTGGGGCCCTGTTGGGGCCTCTTGGGGGCCTCCTGGGGCTGTGTTCGAGCCTTCTGGGGGGTATCCTGGAGCCGAAGGGCCGAAATGTCGGGTCGGATCCTGTCGTGGGGCCTTTCTTGGAACCGTCTTGAGGGTCTTCGGGGCCGTCTTGGGGGTCTCTTGCACCGTCTTGGGCCGTTTTGGGGCCGTGTGGGGCGTCTTGGAGGCCTCTTGGGCCGTCTTGTGACCAACTGGGGCATCTTAGAGCGATCTGTGGGCGTCTTGGAAGACTTCTGGGGCCCGTCGGACCAGCTTGGCGGTAATTTCAGGCATTGTCGGGGTTGTCTTGAGCCCGTCCGGGGGGGTGGCGAATTAGGTGACGCCCATCCGGGGGGGGGGGGTCCCTTATCATTTGATAGGGAAAAGGAGTGTATATATACACACAAATATTGTAATCCATTCCTCCACATGAGCGCGCGTCGCAAGGTCAGAGATGGCGCGGGTGGAGCTGCAAGTAAAATTGTGCCAGGGTGCAGTGTCGGATTCGTCGTCGACGTCGTCAAAATCCAGATGCTGTCTGACGTCGGAGTTGCTGTCGTCGTTTGTGCCGTCATGCTATTCAGTGTCGGGGTTGGTTGTGCTTTCGGCGGTGCAGATGTGATCCGGTCTCTGTCGGCGCCTCGAAATATTGACAATGAGTCGTAACATGCGTCGTTGGGCGCGTCGGAATGCTAAAGCACGTGATTGGTGAGTCCACGTTGCGCAGCCGTACGTGACCGTTGGCGTCACCGTCCCGCTGAAGAGCTTGACTCTGCTGCGAAGGGGGTACCGGCTGTTTGTGAGCTCGTTGCGGAGCTGGTTGAATTTGCGTCCCTCCATTGCAAGTCTGTTGATGAACTCGGCGTGGTGGAAGTCGTGCACTGTCAGCTTGCGACCCATAAATTTGGTGCTCTCCTCGGCGCTGAGGGTTTCGACCTCGTCGCCGTCGATGTCCACGTGTGCAATGCATCGCCCCCTGTCGCCTGCTAACATTTGTGAAGACTTTCGCTTTGCACTGCAAGTCCGCATTTCGCAGTCTCGCGTTAGACATCTCGAACGATGCACTTGAATTGTCGTAGACTGGGTCCTAGGAGGAGTACGTCGTCAACAAAATCTCATGTCAGTCAGGCGCGTCGTTTGTGCACCTCCCAATTTTATACGGAAGCTCTTTCGTGCCCAACTTGGCTTCATGTGCCAGAATATGTGCTCGAGTAACGCGTGGAACAAATATGAGCTGAGTGGGTCCCCTTGATTGACGCCGCGCTCGATGTTGAATCGTCTGCTTCTGACGTCGGTCTTTGCCATGGATCCCTGGCCACTGTACAACTTCTGCAGCAAGGTAATTTAGGGTTCTGGCCTGGCAGATCTTGTTTCCTCAGGGCTTCCCGCAAACACAAGTGATCGACGCAATCGAAAGCCTCCTTGAAATCGATAGCAGCTGTCCAGAGTGGGAGCTGTCATTCGCTGGACTGCTCGCAAAGTGAGGTTGCAGTGATGATGTGGTCCACTGTGCTCAGGCCCTTGAGGAAACCAGCTTTGTCAGGTGATAATGTGCGTCGAAAAGTGTGTCAAGTCGGTTGCACAGTAGTAGAGACGTGACTTCGTATAGTATTGATATAATGGCGATGGGTCTGTAGTTGCTTGGTAGTTGCGGGTCTCCAGACTTGGAGATTACGTTGATGGTGGCGTGTCTCCACTGTTCCAGCGGTGTCTGCTCAGGTGCTACAGTTTCGTTGAAGAGCATCAACAAGGGGCCCAGAGACACACATGCTGTAGAGGTATGTTGGAGGATGCCCAGGGACACACAAATCAATGTACACAAATCCCAGGATTCCCCATACTTCCATACATCTTCTGGGTTTTCGTCTCCCCTCCCACTTCCCAAACTTTCCCGCCTGTTTTCCTGGGGGTCGACGGTTACTCGTGTCTGTGTGTGTGTGTGTTTTCCTTCCCCTCTGGATGCTTGGGCGATGCCAGAGAGAACTCGGGTCCCCCGGCGGCAGCAGCGCCCCGCGGCAGCGGCAGCCGCGGCGACAACGCGCGGGGGGGTAGAGGGAGGACGGGCGGGCGCCTGGCGAACCGGGAAGCGGGCGAGGGCCGAGGATCGGCGGCTGAGCTCCGGGGGGGAAAGCGAGAAGGGGCGGGCCTTCAAAGGCTCGGACGTTTTTGGACCTTCCCAACAGTTTTCTTAGGGGAGCGAAGAGTGACACAAACATAACAGCTCGGAGGTCCGAGTTTTTATGTTTATGTTACTCTTCGCTCCCATATTTCGGAGTCTTCCCCGAAGACACACAGAACCTCTCAGAAGGGGGCCGGGCTTCTGAGAAGTCCCGCCGCCTTCCGAGAAGGCCTCCTCCTTCTCGCTTCCCCCCCATCGCCCGCCGCCGGCAGGTAGTACGCGCGCGCCCAACCACGGGGCGACGGACTCTACGGTCGGGAACTGTTGTATAGCGTGTCGCCGCGGCGGCCCCGACGACGCGCTACGCCGTGCCTTGCAAGCGGATCACGTGTCGCTCTGCTCCGCGGGACCAGCAGATGGGAAAAACAGGGACGTTGACGCCTGGTGACTGGGAAATGGGTAGCGCGTCGCGCCGAGGCGTGGGACAGAACGGGCCGAGCGGCATGCTATCCTCGGCGGCGAGCGAGGGGGGGAAACGAGAAGGAGAAGGCCTTCTCAGAAGGCGGCGGGACTTCTCAGAAGCCCTCGCACCTTCTGAAAAGTTTGTTGTGTTAGAACACTTCTCAGAAGGCCAGTGGACTCCCGAACCTGCTGAGCAGGCCGTCTCCTTACCACTTCTCCCCCTCGCTCGCCGCCGATATACAAAGTGCCCGACCGTAGAAATATAACCCCTCGGTCGGAAGAAGTAGGTAGAAACATGAAGTAGGAAAGCGTTGAAAATAGATTGGGTGTCCGCCCGCCCCCCTGGGAGGACGGAAAAGGTGAAGCCACTCGATCATGAAGTAGGCAGGCGCTTGAAGTAGATTGGAATCTGGGAGTCCAAAAGACCCACTTTCAACGACCGATGGGCAGCGGCATCGATACCCCCCTGCTCCTCTGCTGACTCCATGCTCCCCCGCTCCTCGAAGGGCTGGGGCGGGAAGGAGAGCGGCCAGACTCGGCGGCACTGCGTGCCGATCTGCACAAAGCAACGGGATCAGGAAAATTCTGACCCGGGTCAATCCAGACCCGGGTCAGCAAGAAACCAGAAACTGCAATGCAGGAGAAAGAACTGCAACGCAGGTCTTCGCAAACCCGGGCCGGCCAACATGTGCGGCCGCCTCGCGACCACGAGCGGCTCGCTAACCTGGGTCAGCCAGAGGGCGGGCGCGGGCCATAGGCCAGTGAAATGCCGCGACTGCGACGCGAATCACAAGCGATCCCGGGTGTTCAGGTGCTCCGCGTGCCCGACAGGAGCAGATGCGAGAGGCCGAGAGTTCACGGACAGGACGCGTCTGACTGATGATCAAGCGAATAACCTCTTCGCGAAGGATCCTGCAGGATCTGGTGCCCTGGCTGACCCCCGTTTGCATTGATCGGGGGCGGCCAAGAGGGGGGTGTCCAAGAGGGGGGGGTGCAAATCATGACCGGCGGCATGTGCGCGGCCCAGCGGGGGGGCCAGGGACGTAATGAAAGAAGAAGGGGCGCCATGAAATCTGGGGAAATATCGTGGCCCCCGCCATGATATCCACCCCCCCCTAGTCATCACCCCCCTCTTTTCCGCCCCCGAATTGACCCCCGTCTCGAGGCTCCCGACGGGACCCGCGCCGGGCCCCCCCGCGGGACCCGCGTCGGGCCCGCGCGGTGCCCACACCGCGCGGCGTCCGCGGTCGGAAGCCCAGAAGGGCCCCACCGCGCGGCCCGTCGACGGGACGCGGGAGGGCGGCCCGAAGTCTCGAAGGGGCCCCAGGACACACAAATAAATACACACAAATAAAATTATTCCCCATGTTTTCCCACATTTTCTGGGTCTCTGTCTTCCCCCCCACTTCCCATAGTTTCGCATATTCTCCTGGGAATCGAGGATTAATTGTGTCTGTGTTTTTTCGCCTCCTGAAGTCTATGCGTCCCCCCCCCCTTGGAGGCGCACGTCCGAGCCGAACATCCAGTACAGGCGTCTTGTGGCATCGGGTCGGGCGCGTCCCCCCACAGGCGAATCTTGCAGGACAAACTGGACAGAGTCAACACATCTTCAAACACAGCCAAAAAACTAGTCGAAACATCGCCCCCGGACTGTTTTGCTACTCTGTTTGGATCTTCCTCTCCTGTATAGAGGGACAGGCCCGACTGAAGTGTAGCATGCCGCTGCCCGAGCGGCACGCCCAGGCAGCGCCCGCCGAGGAGCTCGTGCTTGCAGGATCCCTCCGCGCGCGCCTCGCCCCGAGCGCCTCGCCGCTGGCGAGGGGCGACGCGCACGCGGTCTGCTCTGCACCTCTTTGCGGGCGCCGCCGCGCCTGCGCACGGCCTTTTTCGGCTACACGCCAGAGTGGCCCTGGGTAAGAGTGACCTTTGGTGCGCGGCGCGGCTTTTGGGGGGCCGCGGGGGGCCAAACTCAGGCGCGCAAGACGCTACTATCGCATCGCAATCGGTGATCGGTCGGGGATGGACAGACCCCCCTTTCGCAAAACGTGGTTTAGTGAAGACGACCTGAGGCCCAAACCTGGCGGGCGCAAGCCTGGAAAATGACGGCCACGGCGCCGCCTCGAGAACCGAAGACGGACAATTCACTCATCGACGTGTCACTGTTGGGGGTTCTGTCCACCCCCGAATCGGGGGACCCCGCTGTGCCCGCACCAAAGGTCACTCCGGCGAAAGGTCACTCTCACGTGTACGTAGTCGACTTTTGGGGGGACCTCGGAGGCCCCCCCCCTCGCCTGGGGACGGCCTCGCGGCACGGCCCCCGCCCCAGAGCCGCCCGCGAGGCCACACCCCGAGGTCCCCGACGGCTTCCTCGCACGGCGCGGTCGCCGCGCCGCCCAGGGGCCCCCGAGAGAAGAAAACAAGAGGGGCCCTCTGGCCCGAAGGATTGCACAAAAACCGAAGGATTGCAAAAAAAACCCTCACCTGAACGAAGGATTGCAAAAAAAAACCTCACTTGAACGAAGGATTGCAAAAACAAAAAAAAACCGAAGGATTGCAAAAACAAAAAAAAAAAAAAAAAAAAAAAAAAACTCACCCCCCGCCCCTGGCCAGGATTGCACAGGAGGAGGGCCAGGGCGAGAACAGGGAGGAGGTCGAGGAGGGCGTGGAGGACACGGACGGAGCCGCGAGGGTGGCGGAGGAGATGGCCGTGGTGGGAGGGGGGGGGGCTCCTGCCCAGGTGGCGCTGCCTTCTGAGAAGGCCAGCGTGGGTGCCACTGCGTCTCGCTGCTCTTCTCGGGCCGCGGCATGCTCAACGTTGTTCGGGAACGCACTGACCCGGGTCAACGCAAAAACGGGGTCCGTCAGGCTCTGCAGGATCCTGCAACATCCTGCCGGGTCCTGCAGGGTCCTGCGCGCAAGCCTGTTGCAGTGCACCCCTGGCTACGCAGGGCCCTGTAAGGCCCGGCGCTCTGGCGGACCCCCGTTTGCATGGACCCCGCCTCTCCCGACTCGACGCCGTCCCGCGGCCCGCCCCCCGCCCGGGCACCGCAGGCAGGCCTCGGCTCCCGCCTCTCCCATCGGGGGCGTCCAAGAGGGGGGCGTCTAAGCGGGGGGGGGGGGGCGCAAATCATGGCCGGCGCCATGAGCGCGGCCCAGGGGAGGGGCCGGGGACGTATCGAAATAAGAAGAGGCACGCCGTGAAATCTGGGGAGATCTCATGGCCCCCGCCATGACATCCGCCCCCCCTGTCGTCCCCCCCCTCTTGGCCGCCCCCGATCCCAGCTCGAGGCCGCCCCGCCCGCCCGCCCGCCCGGGGGCACCATGGGCAGGCCTCGGCTCCCGCCTCTCCCGGCTCGACGCTGCCCCGCCCGCCCCCCGCCCGGGGGCACCGTGGGCAGGTCCCGGCTCCCGCTGATGTCGATGAAGACCTCCCGCGGGAAGCGCGGCGCGCGGCGCGCGCGAGGCACGCCCTCCGCCGAGCGCGGCGGCCCGAGGACCGGCGGCGCAGAGGGCACGGCGCGGGGCGGGCCGGGCGCCACAGGGGGGGCACGCGGAGCCAGCGGGTGCTGCCACCGCCCCTCGACGTGCAGATCGCGCGCGCCCTGCCGCCGCCCCTGCGACGATGAGAGCCGGGCCCTGCGAGGCGGCACAGAGGCCCTACACGCGGCGGCTTGCGCGGGCGGCGGCCCGGCGAGCCCGCGGGAGCACGCGCGCCGGCTGGCGGCGCTCCACACCTCGCCCGCGGCAGAGGGGGGGAGGTCGAGGGGGAGGAGGAGGAGGAGGAGGAGGAGGAGGAGGAGGAGGAGGAGGAGGAGGGAGGAAGAGGAGGAGGAGGGAGCGAGCGAGCAGAAGGAGGAGGAGGGCGGAGGCGGAGGCGGAGGAGGAGGAGGAGAAGGAGGAGGAGGAGGAGGAGGAGGAGGGAGGAGGAGGAGGGACCACCAACCCACGCCGACCACGACCACCGACCAATACCAGCCCAATACCCACCGACGCACCCACCACACAAGACAGCGGACCCAACCGAGCAGACACGGGGATGACCGACATCACAGGAAAGCCCAGCATCGTACTGCTCTTCACCGCCAACCACGACCACACCAGCGCGGTGACCGACGCCCTCCAAGCCACCGCAGACAGACACAGCATCTCCATCGAACTCCACCACCTGCCAACCACGCACCCACCCCAACCTGATCCAACGGCTTCCGACATGGCCACGACACCATACGACCACGCCGCCTTCTGCATCATCGACGCCGACCTCACGACCTTCGACCGCGACCTCAACCTCAGGACGCAAGAGGCACCTTGGGGACGACTGGACCTCACACCCACGCAGCACAGAGCGGTACGACAAGACAACGACAGCATGCGGCACGTCCTACGGACCGCACAGCGGATGATGACGATGCGCACACCTACCATCATCCTGGACAGCAGCCTCCGACACCTGCAGATACAGGAATATGCATACATCACAACGACGTGCAGCACAACCCCGACCACAGCATTCACTGCTTGCAACTGTCCTGCAGACATCACTACGACAACTACACTGACGCAGGCCATAGAGCAAACACTCCAGCCCACCGCCGACGCATACACAAAGGCACAGACGTGGCACTATAATGGATATGATGGCAACGATTGCTGGATGTCAGAACGTCCAGGCGCGGTGCTCCTCGAGCCGCGACCTGGACAGTACGGTGGCCAACTGTCGGCGGAGGAGATCCAGAAGGAGCTGTCGTCTACTATGGCACATACACAGTTTGCAGGATACCCTCCCAAGAGGCCTCCACCAGAGACCGCACCTCCCAGGCTGGCATCTTCGACTTCAGCATTACCTCCAGCGGCACCACCAGGAAGTATTGCATGCTCTTCAACACCCGTCGGCACGCACTGCTCACCTCCCCAGCCCACGGGGCGCTTGGGAGGTAGGCATAGTCCACCTCCCCAGCCCATGGGGCGCTTGGGAGGCAGAGGGTACCGACCGACGGGGGTCACGAGGCTACTGGGACGGAAGTCGGTGGTGGGGCATCACTCCTGGAGACAGCGCAGCACCAGCCACGCCAGCATCACGAAGGCGTTGAGCAACTTCGTCAAGCTGGACTCCTCGAGCCGCGACCTGGACCTGGACCACCGACTCCACATGGCCAGGAGACATCCTCACAGCCCGTAACAGGGGCACAAGAAGAGCAACGGGGGCAACCACCACGCGAAGGCGCCGAGCACGCACGCGAACGCCCCCGTGGACCCCCGAACGACAACCACGGCGAGCACCACCCCGCGGAGTACAGGTTGGTGATCACCCCCTCGCGGTGAGCGTGCCGGCCCCCAGGAACGGACCTGGGGGCGCAGGCGGCCGCGAGGGGGAAGAGACCACCTTCATCCTTTGACACCTGGGCCCGCGGGACGCCCCCCCTCCCCCCCCTAGAAGGTTGTGGGCCCCCCCTCCGTTCCTTTCTCGCGCCCACGCAGGCTTTGTTTCTCTCCTGGTGAGGGGTGGGGGCCCACAACCCTACAATACATTTGCCCCCCCCCACCACCACCTCCGCGTCTTTCGAGCGAGGAGGAGTACGTACTCCACTATGGAGGTGGTGGTCGGGGGGCGGCGGGCCCAGTACAAATCTAGGCCCGCCCCAGTGCCTGGACCCTGGCTCCGCTTCCCTCTCCTCCCAGGCCCTTGAGGTCCCTTCCTGGCCCCTGTGGCTCCTCTCACCCCCGTCTGCGGGCCAGGTTTCCAGAGGCGTGTTGAGGCCCCCTCCTGAGGCCCCTTCAGAGGACCTCTGAGGCAGGGGGTCGGGCGTCGCGCCGCGCGATCGGGCGCGCGCGCGGCGCGGGCTGCGGCGGACAAGAACCGCTTTGCCCGCAGTGCCGCAGGAGGAGGAGGCGGAGGCGGAGGCGGAGGAGGCGGAGGAGGCGGAGGAGGAGGAGGAGGAGGAGGAGGAGGAGGACCACGATGACCACGAATAAGACGACGACGACGACGACAACCACGACGACCACTACCACGACCACGACGACCACGAATAAGACGACGACGACGACAACGACGACCACGGCGACGACCACGACGACCAGGACGACCACGATGACCACGACGACCACGACGATCACGACGATCACGACCACGGTCACGACCACGACCACGACGACCACGTTCACGACCACGCTCACGACCACGACGACCACGACGACGACGGCAACCACGACCATGGCCACGACAACGACAATAACGACGACCAGGACCGCGACCTCGACGACGACGACGACAACGATCACGACAACGATCTGGACGACCACGACGACCACGACGACCACGCCGACCACGACGACCACGACGACCACGACGATCACGACGATCACGACGACCACGACGACGCCAATAACAACGACAACGACTACGACGACCAGGACAACCACGACCACGACGATCACGACAACCACGACGACCACGACGACCACGACCACGACGACCACGACCACGACGACCATGACAACCACGACGACCACGACCACGAACACGACCACGACCACCACGACGACGACATCGACCACGACGACGACGACCGCCACGACCACGACCACGACGACCACGACGACGACAACGACGACAAGAAACGATGACGACGACGACGACAACGACGACCACGATGATCACGACGACCACCACCACGACCACGACGACGACGACCACGACAACGACCACGACGATGACGACCCCCACGATCACGACCGCGACGACCACGACGACGACAACGACGACCACGACGACCACGACGACGACGACGACAACGACCACAGCGACCACGACGGCCATGACAACCACGACCACGACGACCACGACGATCACGACGATCACGACGAACACGACGACCACGACGACCGCAACCGCGATCACGACGACGACGACGAGCACCACCACCACCACCACCACCACGACCACGACCACGACCACGACTACCACGACGACCACCACGACCACGACCACGACGGCAAGGGTCGAAGTCGCATCCGAGAGAACAAGGAAAGGCAGACGGAGCACAAAGTGCGAGGGCACTCGATACCATCTCGCGACTGGCCGCAACCAGCATACATCCAATCGGAGGCTGCCAGGGGTGCTCTTGGCCCAAGGTGTCTCCAGCTTTTCGCGGCGTCTTGGAGCCCATTGGGACCTCTGGGGCCTTGTGAGGGGTGCTGTGGGAGCGTCCTTAGAGGCCTCCTAGATGGGGTCCCAGTAGATGGGGTCGGAGGATGGCGCCGCATCGACGATACATCGACGATGCATCGGCGATGCATCGGCGATGCATCGGCGATGCACCAGCGATGCATCGTCGACGTCAGCGATAAATCGGCGACGTCGACGTGAAGCAAATCGGGCTCCACATCCAGCCGCATCGGCGATGCATCGGCGATGCGGCGCGCTCCTTCGACCCCATCTACTCTGGCCCCATCTAGGAGGCCTAGAGTTCTGGACATCCTTCGGGGGGACGATAAGATACAGTTGTTTTGGTCTGCGGGTCGAGAGCGAGCCTCTTCTGGTTAAGAGCTACACGATACGATAAGATACAGACACTGCTACTTTCAGGTCGGGCATGTCCCCCTGCAGGGGGATTTTGGACGAAACATGAAACATTGTCAAACCATAATCCAAAACAAGATAATCGAAAACAGTCAAAAAAAATCGTCCCCAGACTAGTTGCTTGACTACTTTTGAACATGTCCCCTGTAGAGGCACACGCACGAATTCACGCCACTCCACGGCCCTCTCCTGGGACGCGCTCCGACCAGGATGCCGAGGCGAGCCCAGCCGTGGCGACGAGGGAAGCGCGGCGGCATCGGATCCCTCTCCTCCTCCCCATGCCATCGGCTCGGGCGTCCACTCCCCGTGCCCTTGTTCGGCTCCGCGCGTGCACTCCTTGCTCCTAATTCGAGGTTGGGCATGCCCTCCTACAGGCGGATTTTGGGGCGATAGATGAAAGACGGTCAAACGAATACCCCAAAATGGTCAAAAAATACTCGAAAAGTCGTCCCCCGACTATGTTCTGCTATTTTTTAAGATTCCTCCTGTAGAGGGACGTGTCCGACTCAACTCGAAATGATCCAAGATGCTCCTCGATGAACCTCGCCGAGAGAAAGTGCACACGTCCGTGCGATGCCAAGCTCCTCTGACCCCTGGAAAGCTGGGACCACCTTGGGCCAGGGCCACCTCCTGCAGCACCCGAAGCAAGCGCGCCTGCACACCTCAAGACGTGCTTACCCGGACGATGTTCGGGTCGGACGAAAGGGTCGGCGGCGAGCGAGGGAGGGAAGAACCTCTCAAAGGCGGCGGGACTTCTGAGAAGCCCTCGCGCCTTCTGAGAAGCTTTTTGTGTTTTCGGGGAAGGCTTAGAAAACTTCTCAGAAGGACGGGAGACTTCCGAACCTT